AGGGTTCCACTCCAACAGCTGATATAGTGTGTCCATGCTTGACTGCTACAAGGCTCAAGAGAGGGTCAATGGACCTAAAGAGCAAGAGGATAAGACTCTGCGCATAAAAGACACTAGCGGTCTGCACCTCTACCGTGTACGCCCTAGTCACTCTTTCAGTGGTAGCGGAGCAGTGATCCTGGAAGACCCAGGTGAGCTCCTTTCCTAGGCATAGAATTGCTTGTGGGCAAACGGCCATGGATTGGATTGACGACTGGGAAGAGCCTGATGCGGATGTGGCTTATGAGCCAGCAGCCTACGTGAATAGGCATGTGAGAAGAGAACCAGCAGCAATAGCAATGACAACACAGGTCACTACAAAGGTGCCCCCATCTTATGATGGAAAGACTTCATGGTTTTCCTATGAGGATGCCATAGACGATTGGTGTGATATCACCAAGCTGGAAGAAGAGAAGAGAGGACCAGCTTTGAGAAACAGATTAGAAGGAGAAGCAGCAGTATACAAACGTGTATTAGACAGAGATTCATTGAAGGCTAATGAGCCACCAGGAGCAGGAGTAGATTACTTCAAACGAGTACTACGACCATATTTCGTGAAAGGATCAACCAATGTATTCCTATACAGGTTTATGCAATTCGTGCGATTCAATCGAGGATCAGCCGACATGATGAAATGGATGACAAGATTCCAGATTTTACTCCAAAGGCTTATGAGCAGTTGGATGGACATGTTAGAACCAGTCACTCAAGCACATCCCCAAGTCCTTGCTCAGATGCAGGCAGATGCAGCGTTGACTGGAGTAGCACCAACGGCAGAAAGGATTCAGGAAATCATGCAGAATGTCAATGGCAATATGAGAATTCTTCATCAGAACGAATTTCCTCTAGGAGAGAATCTCATTGCCCTACTCATGCTGTCACTTGCGGATTTGTCACAGGACCAGCGAAACACTTTGACTTCTTTGATGACTCATCGTGGCAGGTACCTGCAGCAATACACTACAACAGAGCTGAGGACAGTTTTCATCGAGATGTTCTGCACGACAAAGACTTCAGTAGACAATCCATTGATGCAGCCGACAGGTGCTGGAGGTAGAAGATCATTTCTCGTACTAGACGAAGGAGAACTCGATGGTACATTTGGCTATTGGGCCGAAGATGAAGAAGATGGAACTGAAGGATTTTTAGATGCCCTGGACGATGTCTTTTGGGTATATGATGATCAAAACTTCTCATGGTTCCAAAGGAGATTCCAAGGAAGAAGAGCCAGAAAAGGCAAAGGAAAAGGTAGAAGAAAAGGAAAAGGTAAAGGAAGATCAGGCCGCAGATTCTTCAGACCTCGTGGAAAAGGAAAAGGAAAGAGACGAGGTAAAGGCCATTTTGCTGATGAGCAACAGACAACTTTTCCAGATGAATACCTTGAAGAGAATCCTTATGAGGACACTTGGGAGTCAAACCAAGGAGCATATGATGCCATTCTTGCCGAGGATATGAATGACTATCTTCAAGGAGAATATGATGATGCCAATGACTTTTGGCAACAGCTTGAAGAAGCATGGTTTTCCCACAAAGGAAAAGGAAAAGGCAAGAGAAAAGGCAAGAAAGGAAAAGGAAAAGATAAAGGAGATGGCAAACAAGATGCAAACTATGCAAATCAACAACAGCCACGTTCTTTACCTGCACCTTCAAGAACTTCACAAGCATCAGGAGGTCAACAATGTTTCTATGCACATTGTGTGACAGCAGCAGCTGAAGTCCATGACAGTGAGGTGGACTTGCTGTCAGGCATGATGACCTCATGCCAAGATGAAGCTGACTGCGTGGTCAACAATGGTGAGACGATCTTCGATGACATGAGTGCCCCTGTGAGGTACTCTTTGTCAAAGGAGATGCTCACAAAGGCTCCTGATGGCTTTGCGCTTATGAGCGCTGATGGCTTTGCGCTTATGAGCGCTGAGGAAGAAGTGAAGGAGATGCAGGCTATTTCATTTTTGACTGAGAATCGCTTCCCGCCAACTATTGCAATCCTGGACATTGGATGCACTAGAGCTATGGGATCAAGGCGAGCAGTCGACCATTTTTGCAACTATGTCGACAATCACCCGGATTGTGGATTATGGTACTCTTTTGAGTCTACCAAGAGCAAGTTTTACTTTGCCAATTCCCAGAAGGCTACTTGCACTCAGAAACTGGTGATTTATATGTATGATCGTGCATGGACGATCCACCATACAGAGTTCGACATAGTGGAAGAAGGAGAAGTCCCTTTGCTTATGAGCTTGCCACAGATGAGGAACTTAGGCTTTGAACTCAGGCTGACACCTCAACATGCTTATCTGACATCGGTGCCTCTTGGTATCAAATTTTTGGAGTTGAAGGTTGCAGCCAGTACTCATCTTGTGTTGGACTTCCAAGATATTGCATGGTATCTGTCTGACGTGCGTTGGCAGACTCAGCGTGAGAAGAGTTTTTACTCTCACCTCACTCACTATGAATATGGCCATATTTCTGTTGAACACAATAGTGATGAAGGTGAAGCTGAGCATGCATATCCTGTGGTTGATTTCTGGGAAGTAGATGTTCACAAGAGAGAACTGATACGTCACCACAAGGATTACAGGAAAATTCTTTTCCCAGCAACTAAGTCCTGTCCTGTAGACACTGACTTGCTGGAAGACTTGCGACTGACAATCATCAAGAAGAAAGCAGGAGGAGAAGAAATCAAGAAGACAGATGATTGGCGCAAGGCAAAATGGAAGGACCTACAACTTGGCTATGAATGGCGTGGTAGAACAATTTTTAAATTTAAGCCAGATGCCAAAATTCCAGATCTAAAGATCAGGAAGGCTGGCATTGAGCACCGTGGCATTGGTGATCCCGATGCAGTGGTGCGCTCCTCCTCAGAGAAGGTTCCCATTGCAAAGGACAGGGAACCAGGCTTCTCATCAGAGAAGGAAGGTGCACCATCCAGTGCCGCGGAAAAGCCCGTGCCGCCAAAGTTTCGGTATACTTCCAAGGGTTTTGATCCATTTTGGAAGGGCCACAAGTCAAAACCATCTGAGCCTCAGAATGATTTAAAGGGTGATGGTCTTGAGGAGTATGCTCCCTCAGAACCACCTGAGAGGCCAGAAGGTGAACTTGTAGAAATTCCTAAAGCATCAAAAGGACCATCAAGTGATAAACATGAACCACTTGAACCAGGTGATGGCGCTCTTGAGCCTAGGCGGATTTCAATCCCATTACCTGGTAGTGAAGTTGTTGCAATGACACCGGCATATAGGAAGATGTTACAGAGACTGGAGGACAAGGTAGAGCTTTATAAGCTTCATGTGAAGCACTACCATATGAGTCCTACTCAGTTTCGTAGACGTGTTTCTATGTTGAAGCTTCCTGACTCTGTTTTAAAAAAGTATGAATCAGTTGTCAGGAACTGCCGTGTTTGTAACACTTCAGTGGCACCTCCGCCACGAGCCAGAGTCTCCGGTATTAGAGCTTCATGTTTTGGTGATGTTGTTTTTGCTGATCATTGTGAGGTTGAACTTCACAAGAACAAGTATATCATTCTACTTGTTCTTGATGGTGCCACAAATCTTCTCTGGGCTACGGCACAGAAAGACCTCATAGATCAAACCACCATCCAAGCAATGAGGCAATGGTCTGATGAGAACAATTGTGTTCCAAAGGCCATCGTAGGAGACGAAGCCTTTTTCACAGATGCTTTTGTTGAATACTACAGGTTCCATGGTATACAACAATGTCCTTGTGGGCCAAGAACTCCTTGGCCGAACCGAGCAGAGACAGCTGTACGTTTGTTCAAACGTATGTGGCATGTTATGAAGGTAGATCTGGATGACCCACGTTTTCGTGGTGTTACGGTCAGAGAAGTGGTCAAGAAGGTAGTT